TGTTTTGTTTGTTTTTTGAAATAGGCCTATATTGCTATAAATTTCCCTCTAGAACTGTTTTGTCTGTCCCATAGATTGTGGGTCATTGTGTTTTCATTTTTATTTGTCTTTTGGCTTCTTCCTTGATGTTGTCATTAACTTGTTCATTGTTAGTAGCATGTTATTTAGCCTCCATGTGTTTGTGTGTTTTTTAGTTTTCTTTTTGTAACTAATTTTTAGCTTCATACCATCTTGATTGGATAAGATTCTTGATATGATTTTGATCTTCTTGAATTTATTGAAACTTGTTTTGTGGCCTAATTTGTGGTCTATCCTGGCAAATGTTCCATGTGCACTTAAAAAAATGTATATCCTACTGCCTTTGTGTAAAAAGTCCTAAAAATATCAATTATAAGACCATCTGGTCTAATTATTACTTAAGGTCGCTGCTTACTTGTTGATTTTCTATCTGAATGATCTGTCCATTGATTTCTTGGGTTGTTAAAGTCCTCTAGTATGACTGTGTTACTGTTGCTCTCTTTTCTATGTCCATCAAGATTTGCTTTTATATTTAGGTGCTCCTATGTTGGGTGCTAGACATTTATGAGAGTTTAACCTCTTGTTGGATTTATCCCCTTCTTATTATGAAATGTCATATATATATATATTGATTTCAGGGAGGGAAGGAGAGTGAGAGAGAGCCAGAAACATCAATGATGAGAGAGAATCATTGACTGACTGCCTCCTGCGCACTCCCCCCCCACCACACTGGGAATTGAGCCTGCAACCCTGGCATGTGCCCTGACTGAGAACTGAACCATGATCTCCTGGTTCATAGGTCTACACTCAACCACTGAGCCATGCCAGCTGGGTGAAATGTCCTTCTTTGTCTCTTCTTACAGCCCTTGTTTTAAAGTCTATTTTGTCTGATATAAGTATGGCTACCTTGGCATTCTTTTCTGTTTTCATTTGCATGAAATATCTTTTTCTATCCCTTTACTTTCAGTCTGTGTGTGTCTTGATCTAAAGTGAGTATCTTATAGGCAGCATATGTATGGGTCTTTTTTTAATCCATTCATCCACCCTATTTTTTTATTGGAGCCTTTAGTCTATTTAAAGTAATTATTGATAGGTATGTAGTTATTGCCATTTTATTAACATTAATAGTTTCTGTTGTTTTTGTAGTTCTCTGTTTCTTTCTTATTCTCCTGCTGTCTTATATGTTGATGACTTTCTATAGTGTGGTGTTTGGGTTTCTTTCTCTTTATTTCTTTTACATCTCTTACAGAGTTTTCTTTGGGGCTTATCATGTGCTTCATATATGTCTATAGCAATCTATTTTAAGTGGATAGTCACTTAAGTATGAATATATTCTAAAATCATTGCAATTATTACTCACCCGCTCCACTTATTTCTGTGTGTGTGTGTGTGTGTGAATCCCTTAATTTATTGTTGTAATTACATGTGATCTGCCTATTTTTGTCTTTTACCCTTTGTACTTCTTTACAGTTGATTGATCCCCTGCTTTTACTAAGTGTTTGCCTTTGTCAGTGAGAATTTATTTTCCTATATTCTCTTATTCATATTTCTGATCTTTTCTTTTCTTCTGAAAGAAGTTCCTTTACCATTTCTTGTAATATTGGTGTAATGGTGATAAACTCCTTTAGAACTACTTTAGCTTTTTCTTGTCTGGGAAGCTCTTTATCTTTCCTGCAATTCTAACTGACAATATTTCTGGGTAGAACAATCTTAGTTATAGGTCTCTGCCTTTCATCACTTTGAATATTTTGTGCCATTTCCTCTGGCCTAGAAAGTTTCTGTTGAGAAATCAGCTGACAATCTTATGAGAGTTTGCTTGTAGGTAACTAACTGCTTTTTTCTTACTGCTTTTAAGATTCTCTGTTTGGCCCTGTCCAGTGTTGCTCAGTTGGTTGGAGTGTCATCCCATGCACTGAAGCGTGATGGGTTCAATTCCTGATCAGGGCACATACCCAGGTTGCGGGTTCAGTCCCTGGTCAGGGTACATACAGGAGGCAACTGATTGATGTTTCTCTCTCACATCAATGTGTTTTTTTCTCTGTCTCCTTTCCTCTCTCTAAAATCAATTTTTAAAAAATTTAAAAACATATCCTCAGGTGAATATTTAAGAAATAAAAGGTTCTCTCTTTGTCTTTAACCTTTGGCATTATAATTATGATATATCTTGGTGTGATCCTCTTTGGGTTCATTTTTTTTTTGGACTCTCAGCACTTTCTGGACTTGTACATGTATTTCCTTCCCCAGGTTAGGTAAGTTTCTGATCATTATTTTCTCAAATAGGTTTTCAATCCTTTGCTCTTTCTGTCTCCCTTCTCTTTCTGGTACCATTATGTGGCAAATATTGGTGTTTTCCCAGTGGCCCTTTAAACTATCCTCATTTTTTTTAATTCTTTTTTTTTTCTGTTCTGATTGGGTGTTTTCTGCTATCTTGTCTTCCAGATTATTCATTTGATCCTCTGCTTCATCTAATCTGATGTTAATTCCCTCTAATATATTATTCATTTCAGTTATTGTATTCTTTATTTCTGACTGACTCTTTTTTATGTTTTCTATCTCTACTTTTATCTTTCTTACCTCTTTTTCGATGAAGTTCTCACAGTTCATCTACTCTTCCCCTAAGTTCATTGAGCTTTCTTGTAACCAGTGTTTTGAACTCTGCACCTGGTAGATTTCTTATCTTCATTCTATTTAGTTCCTTTCCTGGAGTTTTGTCCTGATTTGTTTGTTTGTTTGTTTCCATTTGAAGCATGTTTCTTTGTCCCTTCATTTTGGCAAACTCCCTGTGTTTTTTTCCATGTATTAGGTAGATATGCTATGTCTCTGATCTTGGCAGAGTGGCCTTATGTAATAGGTGTCCTGTGGGGTCCAGTCGTACAATCTTTCTGGTCACCAAAGCTGGGTGCTTCAGGAGTGTCCCTTGTTGTAGTTGAGTCTTGATTACTGTTGGCATGTCAGTAGGCAGGAGTGACTGTCAGGCTAACTGTGAGGACTGGCCATGACTACAGTAGCAGAGTTGTGCAGAGGGCTGGCCCCGCAGAGCAGGAGTTGCTTTAGCGGGTTCTAGTGCCATCTGAGTCTGCCCCTCTTTGTGGAACTGGTTGGGTGGTGCTCTGGTGTGGTCTGAAGCTGGCCACTAACTCTTACAAGGAGCTCCCATGCAGGTCAAGATTAGCCACCATTTGTCCCCAGCTTGGGGCCATCTGGTGGGAGCTACAAAGAAATCTGTGGTTGGTTCCCATTGTGTGGTCTTAGGCACTTGGAAGAGGCTAGTCTGTGAACAGAGTCTGGTTGCCACTAGTGCTGTGCTGGTCCCTTTGCTGGGCACCATGCTGAGAACTGAGGCCAGCTCCCACTTGTGCTGGATTCGTGGCCATTCACCTGAGGCAGTGTTCCAAGCCACGCCTGGCTGCTGCTTACGCCCTGCTGGGGCGACCTGATGGGAGCTACAATGCAAGTTGAGAGCACCTGCCACTTGGGCTGGGCCTGGAGTCACTTAGCAAGAGTCATACAGCACACCAGGGCCAGCTGCTGCTTGTTTGGGTTTTGTGGGCCTTTGAGAAATTTCAGGCAAGTCCACAGCGCAAGCTGAGGCAAGCTGTTTGTGAGGAAAAGCCACTGGAAGAGGCTTAGAAGAGCAGGTCACTTGGGTGAGGCCAAGGCTCAGGGAATCTCCACGGCGCCCACCTGTACCTGCTGGCTGGGTGTCAGGGAGAGCTCAACAAAACCCCTGCCCCTCCAGCCCTCAACCTGAAGCTAGTCAATTTACTGTCCTCCTGTGTGTCCCTGGTGCTTTCAAACTGCTGCCCACACGCTGGAGCTCAGAGAAAGTGAGTTTGTGAGTGAGTGAGTCTGTGAGGTCCCTTTAAGACCTGCAGCGTCTGGGTCTCCAACAGTCCTCCATCTCAGCTGGATGCAACCCCTGCTGGTTTTTATAGCCAGATATTATGGGGACTCCTCTTCCTGGCACCGGAGGCCCGGTCTGGGGGCCTGGTGTGAGACTGGGACCTGTTGTTCCTCGGGGGTGAATTCTGCAGATGAGATCCCCTCCAAATTTTTAATCCCCACACTGTAGTATGGGACCTGCCATTCCATGTCTCCGTCTCTGCCCCTCCTAACCGTCTCCATGTGGCTTCTTCTTTTTTATTATAGTTTTAATCCTCTCCCAAGGACATGCTTTTATCAATTTTTTTTTTGAGAGAGAGAGAGAAACTTGATGTGAGAGTGAAACATCAATCGATCGGTTGCCTCCCACATGGGCCCAGCCGGTGATTGAACCTGGGTGTGTGCCCTGACCAAGAACTGAGCCTGCCACCTTTTGGTGTACAGTACGACGCTCCAACAAACTGAGCCGCACCAGCCAGGGCTGCGGCTTTTTTATATCCTTGGTTTGGCTGGTCTTCAGGTGGCTCACAATGGTAGGTGTTGCATAATTCAGTTGTGATTTTGACATGGTTGTGGGAGAAGGCAAGTACACATCTACCCATTTCACCATCTTGACCAGAAATCTCATGCCTCTTATTTCACTGCTTAACTGCAGCACCTGGAACAGTGAATGGCATACAGTAGGTACTCAATAAATAGTTGCTGAGTGAGTAAATGAATGAACCATTGAACAAATGGAAGGATGGATATGTGGACCCATGGATGGGTGTGTGGGTGCATGGACAGATGCATGGGACAGATGTATGGATAGATGAAGAAATCTGGGGAAACAGAGAACGTAAGACCCCAGAGATGTAGCAGAAACTAACCAGGCAGGCAAGCTGTGCACCTGCCTCAGGGAGGTAACCTTGGGGTGTTGCTGCTGAGGCGCTCCAGCCCATGTCCCCCTGAAGCCCAGCAGGAAATGAGCCAAGTGTGGTCATGCCCTGGAGCCCTAAGCTCCATGTCCCGGCCACAGGACATCTGGGGTGCCAGGGTGGGGCAAGGATTGAAACAGGCTTGCATCCTGCTCACTCACTTGGTGTGCTCTTGGCTTGCAGCCCGGTCCAAAAGCCTGGTGATGGGGGAGCCAAGCCGGAGTCCCGGGCAGCCCCCGGGCCCACGCGGGTGCGGCCCCGTGCTGAAGGCAGGCTGGCTGAAGAAGCAGAGGAGCATCATGAGGAACTGGCAGCAGCGCTGGTTTGTGCTGCGCGGGGACCAGCTTTTCTACTACAAGGACAAAGACGAGGCCAAGCCCCAGGTGAGCGGGGCATGCTCCATGTTGGGCACAGACTGCGGTGGGGCTCCTGGGAGGGTTGACCACGCCCAGGAGAGGGGGAGGCAGCGACCCTCCTGTCGGGACCTGCACCCCGCCAGCCCCCAAGCCCCCACTTTCGCTCAGAGTGACACTCCAGCAGGACTCCCGGGTGTTCACCCCCAGCCCCATGCTCCGGGCGCCACGGCCGTTTCACTGAGACCGCAGCTGCAGTGTCCTGCCCTTGCTGACAACAGCGTGCACGGCTGCAGGAGCAAGTCCTGTCTGTGTTCTTCTTGACTTTGTGTTTCCAAGAAGACACAGGCGCCCACATTTTACTACTTGTGATGTCCAGGGAAACGGGCACCCACCCCAACCTGCCCTCCACCTGAGAGCCAGCTCCGGGAAAGCCTCTGTTCAGGCCCCTGCCAGGCAGTGGCTCTTGTGTTTTCCGCCAGAACCGTAAGACCCACTGGGCTAGCAGTGCCTTCCCCAGTGGCGCTCATTCACTCCTCAGAGCAACTCTTCGCTCCCCCACCGCGGGCAGCCCAGTTGTTGGATCGCACGCAGGTCACAGTGAAGGGCTGCCATCCGAGGCCACCAGGCCTGCAGGGCTCGCCATCCAGTCTTCATTATGGGACTCAGAGAGAGAATGGACATCTGGGGAGACCCTGATTTCTCTGGGGTGAATGGGGAAGGGAATGTAAGGGACTCGTCCCAAAGGATGCCCCTAGTCAGGACTCCAGGCTGGAAAGGAAAGGGAGATCCTATATGGGGCTGGGAGTCAGAGCCTTGGTGGTGGGAGCCTGCAGGCCTCTCGGCAGCTCGCACTGTGTGGGTGGGTCTGGGAGGCAGGGGGTGCTCAGTGATGGGCAGGTGGGAGGAGGCACCTGGGCGCAGCCTCCTTCACCTTCTCCAGTACACCAGCCAGCCGGGAAGTGTGACTTGGGCTAGCAGGCCTTTAACACGTCCCCAACGCTGGAGGTTCTCCCTTGAAAAGATGGGGGTGGGGGAGCAGGCCTGACTCAGAGCTTTGGGTGCAGTGACTAGCTGCTCACTAACCTTTGTTAATCTTCGCTGTCTTCACTGTGTATTCTAATGGTTAGCTTCTGTTTATGGAAAGGAATGCTGGTTTCCATTCATGAGAGTGACAGCATGCTTGTCTTTTTAAATATATCCAACTGAAAATTAAAATGTGTTGCACATCAATGTGAATATAGTTAATGCGCTGAACTATACACTTAACATGGTTAAAATGGAAAATTATGTCATGTGTACTTTGCCACAGTAAAAAGTGAGACAGCTTAAGGAAAATTTTTACAAAAATTATAGTAGAGATAAAAGGTAGGTATGACAAAAATCAGGAAGGCAGATCTGAACTAAGTTTAGGGAACCCTGGTCCTGTGTAGCCTCTTTGTTCTGTAGGGAATGAAAACAAGTCCCAGAGAGGCTGATAGAATGAATAGGACTTTACAGTCAGAGAGGCCTGGCTGGTTTGGCTCAGTGGATAGAGCTTTGGCCGGCAGACTGAAGGGTCCCAGGTTCGATTCCTGTCGGGGCACATGCGGACTCAATCCCCAGTAGCGGGTGTGCAGGAGGCAGCCAGTTAATGACTCTCTCATCATTGATGTTTCTATCTCTCTCTCTCCCTTCCTCTGTGAAATCAATAAAAATATATATATATTTTTAGAGTCAGAGAGATCTGAATTTGTATGACTTGGGACAAATCACTTAATTTCTTTTTACTTTGGTTTTATTATTACCAGTGTCACAGAGATCACTAAGGATTATACTGTAAACACTAGAGGCATGGTGCACAAAATTCATGCACAGAGGGGGGGGTGTCCCTCAGCCCAGCCTGCACCCTCTTGCAATCCGGGACCCCTCGGTTAGGGTCCCTACACCTGGCCAGCAATCAGGGCCTATCGGGGCTTTCCTTCTCACAGCTACTGGCAGCTGGCCCCACCCCCGCCACTGCCACTGCTTGCCATCTGTGTGGAGTTATCCCCCCTCCCCTGCCATGGGTCGCCTCCCCCTGCAGGCGACAGGCATAGGGGGTGATCACTTGGCTGGCCTGGGCCTCCCTCTGCTGGGCAATTGTGGGGCGATGGCAGGCCACCCAACCAATTGAATTGCACAAGCCCTGGCTTGCCTGGCGCCAGTGCATGTCATAGCATGGTCGTCCAGAAGGTCATCCGGACGGTCATTCTGCTGTTCGGTTGTTTGGTCGATTTGCATATTATGCTTTTATTATTAAGGATATGTGTGGGTGAGGGACAACCTTCCCTCTACCCTCAGGTTCTTCTGGCTGGTCTAATAATCAGTAGACGTGAGACAGATTAGCAAGAAAAAATAACCAAATTCATATGGACAGGAGCCCCGCACACTTGAGAGGTTCTGAGACAGAAAGGAGGCCTGCGGCACATGGACACCCTGAGCTGGGGGTGAGGGAACCACCTCAGGGGTTTCTGGGGCCCGTGCGGGATGCTGAGAAGAGCAGATGCTTCCTAAGTAAAAGCTGGCCTGCCACGGAGGTGGGCCAAAGGTTATTGCTGAGCATCTCTTACGGGCAAGGCCCTAACTCAGTTCTTGCAGGCAGGTGAGGGGTGGGGACAGAAGCTTCTCCTGAGCCTGCGGCTAACATGGCCGTCAACTCTAAACAATTGTGTGCACAGAGGCGCATGTTGGGGCGACTTGTTCTGGACCCACATAGCATCTCCCAGCACTAATCCTGGCACCCCGGGGTCCTCAAGTCTGGGTGCTCTCCCACTCCCTGTGCCCCTGCTTTGCTTGGCTTTGGTCCCTTCCACTGGCTCTGCCCTGGGCCTGCTCCCCAGGGTGGGCACCACACCTCTGGCTCACCCACCATCATTTTCCTCTGACCTCGGCTCTCCGTGTTGAAGGTCAGCGGGGGCCCTCAGCGGCGTCTTGGCTTTCCTGGCTGGCCTACGGTGACATATCACTCTGGTTCCCTGACCCTCAGAGCCCTGCCTGTGACCCTCCTCTCTGCCCTTCTCCCAGCCTGCTCACGGTGCCATCGCCTGAGAACTGCCCGTGGTGCCAGGAGCACTGAGCCCACCCAGCCTGCACAGGACCCACCACCGGCTGCCCCGCACCCTCGTGCAGCTCTGAGCGGCTCTCTCCCGGCAGACGTGACTCATTTTGCTCAGACAGTAGGACCGCACACTCGCCTGCCTGCTGGCAAAGTAGCCCACAGATTTCCATGTAATTGCATGAGCTACACGTAATGGGCTAATTCTCCATATCTGGTTCCTGGAACAGTGTGCCCTGTTCACTGTTTACAGGAACAGAGAGCCCAGGCAGTGAGCCCTCCGGCAGACGGCTGTCATCTGTTGGGCAGACATAATTGCCCGAATACACTGGACACTGCCCAGAGCACATGCCACTCGATGAGGATCACTCTCAGTGAACGTTCCTGCTCTCTCTCAGCCTGTGCCTTCCCCCTCCCCCTCCCCGGAGGGTCAGCGGGCACAGGGTGCACAGGTGGGAGGAGAGGACGGGGCTCGCACCTGCTCAGAGGGAGGATGCGGCAAAGGTGCTTTAAAGCAGAGCCTGCAAGCGTGCCCTGTCCCTCCATCTCTTCCCAGTACGTGTCCCTGGCAGTTTCCACAGACAGACTCAGCGTCGATCAGAGATTCCAGACTTTTTCATCTCAGTGGTTTTAGCTTCTGCTTGGAATGTCTCCTGGGCCATGAAAACCCCGGCCACATTCTGGTTAATCGGCCGGGTCGGCTTCCACTGATGCGGACTCACAAGTGCATCCAGGTACCCTAGCTCTCTGCATGAGGCTTTCTCAGCTTCGAATAGAAACGGAATAGAATAGAAATGAAAAGTATAAATTCCAAAGCATAAGATGGAAAAAATGTAATAAATTAAATGTGACCAGTTCAACAATGGGCAGAAATAGAGGAAAGGAAAATAAAGAGAGAGAAAGGCAAATAGAACATGAAAAATAAGTAAATCAGATAGCAAGGACTTGGTACAAACATATCAGTTTTCATAATAAATGTGATTAGGTTAGAGTCATCTGTTTCTTAAAAGATTGAAAGTGGAAAATTGGCTTTAAAAAGGAGAGAGCAAGCCCTGGCTGGTAGGTAGCTCAGTTGGTTACAGCGTTGTTCTGATACACCAAGGTTGCAGGTTCAATCCCCAGTCAGGACACATGCAAGAATCAACCAATCCTATATAATAAAAGGCTAATATGCAAATGGACCGAACAGTGGAATGACTGGTTGCTATGATGTGCACTGGCCACCAGATGCTCAATGCTGGAGCTGCCCCCTGGTGGTCAGTGCAGAGTGCTGCTTAGCCAGAATCCTGAGCAGGGCTCATGGCTGGAGAGCACAGCGGTGGTGTCAGGAGCCCCTCCCACCTCTGCAGCAGTGCTAAGGATGTCTGACTGACAGCTTAGGCCTGCTCTCCATGAGGGCTCACAGACTGCAAGAGGGCGAAGGCTAGGCTGAGGGACCCTCCCCTCCTCCCCCAAGTGCACAAATTTCTTGCACTGGGCCTCTAGTGAATACATAAATAAGTTGAACAACAAGTGGAGCTCTCTCTCTCACACACACACACACCTTCCTTCCTTCTCTCCCTTCTTTTTTCTCTAAAAATCAATACTTTTTTTTAAAAAAGGAGAGAGCAATAAACAAAAAGGTTTAAAAACAAAACAATGGGGAAAAGATAAGCCAGAAATTTGAGCAAAAAGAAAGTAGATTTAGCAACATTGAAATCAAATAAAAATAGAGTTCAAAGTGATAAGAACAAAAGGAAACAATGAGAAATATTTCAAAATAAGATAAGTAGCAACCTACCAAGAAAATAGAGTAGCTGTGAACTTGTATGCTCTTAATACATAGTTTTAAAGAATTTACAAAGAAAAACAATAGCCAAAGTTCTCCATCTTTTTCAAAATATTTTTTTAAACAAAATGAAATCATGAAGACACATTCACTGACAGTAGGACAATAGTGCAAATGAAAGAAAGG